ACTTTCAAATTTCTACATGTTTTGGTGCCGTTTCGCAACTTCATTTTATTGTAATTTTTTAAACGCCCAATTCTCACTAAATCCTTTTAAATCATTTAAAGTTTTTCCAATTAGCAATGATAATTAATATTAATATTTTAAAAATTAGGAAAGAACATTACTTTTTAAATCAAAAAATGAACAGATATGACGAAAATGATCAAGATTGATCAAATAATTGAAGATATTACTTATGTAGACTAACATTTTTTTGTGAGCACCTATGCAAACTAAAAAACGTAGACTCATTGATATTAGGTCACGAAAACCATGAGTTACTAATCACGATAGGTAGGTGCCTGTTCATTTCGCTTGAAAAATCAAAAAGAAATTAAATCAAAAGCTCAGGCACCACTTTCACATAACAAAAAATTGAATGATAAAACACCCTACGAAGTAAAACTCAACCAGGATCCTTGGACTTACCTATTGGGATATTAAAGAGTCCCCAAAGTTCTCATAAACATTACAAATTTTAAATTTTGAAATTTTATTTATTTTAATACTTCACTGGTTTAAATTAATAAGTGTGGATGTCAGTATATTTATTGTTTTTATATTCTCAACGATTTGGTTAGTTTGACCAATAAATAGTTTGTATCCTTTATAAAATAAGCATTTTTATCTGCTATATACACTTCTCATTGATCAAAAAAAGTTGCCTTGAGAAAGCTCAACAACTTTAGTTTGTTTATTCCAGTTCCGTTTGATTTTCTATTATTGTAGGTACTTTGATAGACAGTATCTATGAATTAATATCAGTCCAATTAATAGGTACGAATAGGGAATCCAGTATCTATATACTAAAAAACATTCATTGCGCCGTCTCAAACCATATTTTTGTCTGTTTAATGATTTTAATACATTATATCACATAATATGTACGTATAGGGTCAAAATGTATCGTCGCGGGCGTCGTTATTGCAGGGCCTTCTTCGTTCGTTGAGGTAATTAAAATGACGTTAGCCGACTGTATCTCGTCGGAACAGGCCTAAGCGCAATCTTCTCAACCCGATGAAAATCACGCGCCATAGCTCATCGTCCTATTGTTGCATTATAGCTTTTTCTTTTCGCATGTTAATGCCTCTGGTTCCGGGTGTGTGTGTGGTATTTTGTCCTTTAATGCCGATTCTATCTATTTTATTTATGATACATAAGCTCTGAGAACAACTGGGAACGAGAAAGAAGAATTGAGCTTTATAAAATATCACATAAACTTCTGTAGGAATTATAAGCTTTTAGCAAACCCTATAGTGGCGACTTCTGAGTTGAACATGTGGTGGTATAGGAAAATTGTTACAGATAGCTTCAGCCATTTTTTCATATTAATAATAATGTTATATTAAGGATGTTTGGGAAGTACGTCAAAATGCTACGAGACAAATAAAAATTTGGAATAACGTTCCTCATTCAATTCTAAAACTACTGTAAAAATTACAAATCGATTCACTAAACCGTTGAAGAGAAAAAATTGTAATTTTACACGTCATTTTATGGAGATTCGTTAACCGAACAGATTAAATTTATTTTTATTAACAGGAGAAAAGCTATCAGAAATAAATAAATAAATT